GAGAGAAAAGGAGAGAAGTACTTTGGTTTTAGAGTTGTTGAGGTTACTAGGTCGTGGATGTTCGTTTTTCTGTCCGTTTTAGTGTGTGTTGGGGGGTCTTTTCTGTCAGTTCTCTTCTGTATCTTGGTGTGTGGTTGTTGCTGCTTCCGTCTGGAGTGGGTTTGGACTGGGGTTGAGGGCGGATGGATGAAGCGGTTAAGTCCTGGTTGTTTTTATCTCGTGTTGGTTTATGTTCTTCCTGTTGTAGGTTTTTCCCAGGTGTTCTTATGACCAGGACGGGGTGTGGTCTCTCGTTCGTGACCGTCTGCGCCTTCCACTCTCCCTTGTTCCCTCCCACTGTACCTCATCTCCCTTGTTCCCTCCCGCTGTCTCTCTCTTCCCTTGTTCCCTCCCGCTGTCTCTCTCTTCCCTTGTTCCCTCCCACTGTACCTCTTCTCCCTTGTTCCCTTTCGCTGTTTCTCTTCTCCCTTGTTCCCTCCCACTGTACCTCATCTCCCTTGTTCCCTCCCCCTGTCCACCTTCTCCCTTGTTCGCTTACCCTTCATGTTCCCCTTCTCCACCCCTCCCCTATACCCCTCCTCACTCTTCCCTCCCTCCTCCCCTTCCATCTCCATCCTTCCTCCCTCCTCCATACATCTCCACCCTCTCCTCTCTCTCTCTCTCTCTCCATCTCCACCCCTCCCCCTCTCCTCCTCCTCCACCCTCCCCCTCTCCTCCTTCTCACACTCTCACTCCACTCTACTCTAAGGTTGAGTGTATTGACGTTGTCGCCTCTTCATATTCACCCACATACGAGAGAGAGAGAGAGAGAGAGGGGGGGGGGATATGATGACCTTGAGTTTTAATGCTTCTCAATTTAACCAGGTCAATCCCCTTACTACAGCCTTCACTGTTTGGTCTCCACTTCTCTCACAGCCACCCCATCCACACTCCCGCCCGCTCCTCCGCCCAACCGCCCACTCCCTGCCACAGTCGGTCCGTTTTTATGGGTAATAATTTTCCCACTCGCAGTAACTGACGCGAAATTTACCTGACTTTAAAACATGTTCCTCAACCATTTACAGCTTGTCTGTGTCCCATTTTTTTAGGTAGTTTTATAACGTATTTTATGCAATTTGTACAGTTTAAGAAGAGGGAGGAGAGGGAGAGAGAACAAGGGATGAACACAAGTCAGAAAGCGTTTGATATTGGTCTCCAGAAGCAGCTTGGGGGGGTCTCTGTGCTGGTGGCGGTTGTGTGGGAATGCTTCAATCTCTGGGTCAGAGCTTACACCGGCAAAGAAGAACTTAATACTAGTGTGAAAGCTGCAGTTTGTTGGACTTTGCTTGACTGTGGAAGTAGCCTCTTTTATTGCCCGCCTGCCGACAGCTTGTGGTTACGAAAAAGTCTTCCTCTTTTTCGTAAAATGTGGAAGTAAGTCTTTACGACCAGTTTGAAACTGTAATTTGATGGACTCTTTTGGGGGCAGTGGAAATACCTTCACACACCGCTTGGTTAGAAAATTCAGCCTCAGTTTCTTTTATAAACTTTTATTTAGTGTAGGATCTTGAAAAGTGTGCCAGCATATAACGCAGAGTGGCTACACACAATATTTCTTTTGAATAAGTTTGAAGGACGTGTGTGTGTACTGTAGCATCAAGTATTTATGATGGTGGGAGAGTTGATGCCGGAGTGTTGGCGACATCTTGATGCTCAGCCTCACTATGAATATATATTATATTCTCGGCTGGAACAACTACCTGTACAGTATGTATACATGAGCTGAGTGAACCAGGAGCATGTTTCACGCACTTGGATACCTTGAGAGGAGGGCAGCTGCTGGACAGGTGGTGACGGTGGGTATGGTTACTGCCGGCAGGTGTACGCGTGTAACACCTGCCTCCTCTGCTCAATGCCCTTTACAGCTGCTTCACTCACAGTAGTACCACGGCTCTGCTCCTCCCCCACAGATGTAGTGTTTCTTTCATTGCACTCTTATTTGAACGAGTAAAAATGATGAATTAATTAAATAAACCATGCATTCTTAAAGAGAGAGAGAGAGAGAGGGAGGTTAAACGGTGGGGTGTAGAGGCCAGGTAGTGACGGGAGGACATTTAGCGGTAGATAGGTAGAGGTCATATCTATTTTGGGTAAGTTTTGGTGGTGGTGGTGGTGCGAGACGCTTATTGACACTAGAGGGCCAATATGTTGCTGGAAGGTGGTGGCCTTAGCGGTGCCCGGAGTCTTCATTACCAAGGCTCAGCCCTACTTTTACTCCATCCTTCCCTTCCTCATCCTGCCTCCTTTCCTCCCTCCATCCTGCCTCCCTCCTTCTCTTCTCTCATCACCCCCCCCCCCCTCCCAGTCATCTTCCACCACTCACACAACCATTTTCCAAACTTTTTCCCCAGCACACATTTCCTCTTTCCATCTTCTACCTCTCCTTCTCATTGGCCATTTACCTCATTCTCCCCGTCTCCTTCACTCCATCTCTCTCCCCTCCTGCCTCTTTCCGGCATCCCCTGGCCGCAGCTGCCCTGCAAGTAGCCTTGATGGGGAGCCGGTCAGATATTGCCGCAGCTGGCGAGGTTATGAAAAATGTAGTGGCAAGAAATACTGGAAAGTTGTGTTTGGTGACGTCTTAGCTCGCCATACCTGGTGTCGCAAGAGAGAGGGGAGGGAAAAGACGAGAGAGAAGAGAATTTGTGGAAAGTGAACAAGACGTATATATGGTTGGTGTGTGGGGACAGTAGAGGTGGGTCTCTCAGAGAAGATATTTAAGCTTGGTTTAGAATGTCACTGACTGCTATATGGTGTATTTATTAGATGATTATAACAATATTTGAAACAACTTTGGCGTAAGAGATTAGATAGTGAGGTGAACGAGCTGAACACTCGATTTGATAAAGCTTCCGTGTAAACACGTGTGGAGCGCTACCAGCTAGTGATTAATTCACCCCGGGATTGATGATATACCCCTGGCTTGTCTGAGGCGACTGTATTACCGGTAACCCACGTTAATAAGTAAGCAGTGGTGGATGTCGGTGTATTGTTAAATAATCAGAGGCAACACCGGACATTGTTATCATCCTACTGTAGGTATATTAAAGCCAACAAACGTCTGCCATAGTGAAGGATCAGAGGCGGGAAGACAGCAGTGAGGCAGAGGAGTATATTGCCTTGGCTCTGTGTTACAGCTCTGCGTATTAGGCGGAGCTCTTGGTGGCGCGGCACTCTGAGCTGTGAATGGGACACGGGGGAGGTGTGGTGGAAGTGTCACAAAGGAGTGGGTAGTGAGGCCCGGGGTGGTGAAGGTGGGGAGGAGGGGGTGAGGCAGAAGCTGTGGAAGAGCGGAAAAGAGGATTAGTTGAGAGATTCAGAAGGCTTGGCAGCATGGGAAGTTGGGCGTGTGGGCCACAAGTTAGGGGACGGTGCCGCCAAAAAGTTACCCCCCCCCCCACATAACTCAGCCTAACTCTCCAAATTGTGATCTATCATGTTCTCTGCGGGGATTGTTATGATGGTGAGCCACACCTGGGGAGATGGTGGGGGGTTGGTTGGTTGGGAGATGGTGGAGTGACAGGGTGTTAGGTGGTAAAGGGAGTGTTGGCCTGGGGTGGTAAAGGGAGGGAGGGAATGTTGGCCAGGGGTGGTAAAGGGAGGGAGTGTTGGATGATGGAGGAAAGGGGTGTGAGGCGGTAGATGGAGGAGGAGGAGGAAGATGAGTGGTAAATTTTTCAACAGGACTTGAGAGAATCACTTTGACCGAACTTAAAAAAGTTTATTCAGGCGGAATAAGTTAGTTGGTTATTTTGCCGACGCGCGTTATGAGATATCTGGAGCCGTGTGGAGAGATAGTGTCAAGTATATCCCACAGCTATTATTCCCCGGGGATACTGTGCAAGTTCTCTTCCTTATTTACTCTTCTGTAAATATCGCCACGCGGCACATGTAGTCAGGGCACAACGAGAGGGTAAATCCTGGCTGTATTTTTCGGTGTCGAGTTCATTGAAAAGTGTCTGGGTGGGAAGAGACGGGGGAAGGAGGGAGAGAGTAAATGGGTGAGTGAATAACTGATCGTGTGTGTGTGTGAGTTGAATGGGTGATGAGTGAATGAGTACATGGGTGGGAGAGTGAGTGAGTGAATCACTTCTGAGTAAGATGCTGCTGGTGTGGCTCGCCCTACCCAGTGTTCCACGAGTGTGGTTCACCCCCTCTCACCACCTTTCATGTGGTACCCAATTTGCGTAAATAAATATGCATGTGTTTTGACTTGCATAGCGAGGTGACGCACGAGGTTTTAATCAAAAGCTGTGTGGTGGGGGAGGAGGAGGGAGGTGTTTGTGTTTTTGTGTGTGAGTTGGTTTGGGGAGAGAGAAAGAGAGATAACGTATGTGAGTGGACTTACTAGATAATTGGAAAGAGAGAGAGTTAGCGTATGTGTGTGTGTTAGCGTATGTGAGAAGACTTGTTAAATAATCGGAGAGAGACAGAGGGCGCACGTGTTGTGGTACACATAGCGTGTGGCCCTACACTCCGGTGAACACACCTGGGGGACGTAGGTACATGATGCATGCAAATGAGTGAGTAATGTAAGCAGCAACAGCTGCGGTGGTGTTGGTTGGTGTGAGAGACTCTGTGTAGTGCGTCGTTCAAAGAGTCTGCAGGACAGTACAGTACACCGGGGTGAAAGAAAAACCTCCGCTCTTTCGGCGTGTTTTCTAATATGGCTTCCATAGTGTTTACTCGTAGATTACGGTACCAACCTTTCGTTTCCCGGAGCACCTCTCTAGCCCTCTCGTCTTTTCCTCAATCGAGAACTTGTGTATATTGTGAGTGTTAGGAGGAAGACATGCCGGAACCTCAGTGTTGGCTGGTCATTTATTTATTGTCTTATACGTGTTGATGTATTCTAATCGGATTGTTTTGAGAATACCTTTGTGTTTATTCTTGTGTTCAGCATGGTGCAGGTGTGGGTTGTCTCTAGTAGTAACTAATGTATACTTTGTCTTGTGTTACAGAGTGGCGTTTCGGCAGGCGAGACGGGGCCCCGTTTCGAGCCCCAAGTCGCCATGGTGTGCGCGGGCCACAACCACCAGTACCATGCCCAATACATGACTAAGACCGGACGATGGGTTACCGACGCCAACTCCAAGGTCACATGTCTGAAGGACAAGGTCGACATCCTCCGCTACTGCAAGCAGGTAAGTTCCTCCTCCTCCTGGTCTTGGAGGTTTCGTCATTCTGTTAGGTTATCATTCAAGATATAGTGTCTCAACCTTGCTCTCCTCTTCCTCCTTAAGGCATCTTCATTCTAGCTCCTTATTCCTCCTTGATACTGCTCCTGGAACTTCCTGAACTTCCGACATGTTACTGGACCTCCCTGGAACTTTTAGCCAGAAGGTAGTGAGTGGGGTGGGGGGGAGGTGTATGTCGTCGACCAGCGTACAACAGTGAGGTGGCAGCTGTGACGCCCAGTGAGATTCTTACCTTGGTTTATTCACCGTAAACTGAGGTAGATTATAGTTCAAAGAGCTGTTTCCACGACGCCGTTTTGGTTTTCGTCATCTTTAACTCGAACGCATTAGGAAGCTTCAAATACGTTGGATAAGGGTTGGGTGTAAACAGGATTGCCTTATATGGGTCACTTGGCTTGTTGCAGTTTCCTTCATTCGTATGTATTAAGTTACACATATATTGTTTGTTACACGATTATATACTGTTCTTTAAATAGTAACCATGTGTTCTTAGGGGAGGCAAACTATTATTAGAGTAATTGTAAACAAGCAGGAGAAGCCTCGTTAGTGTACAGACTGCTTATGAAAACAACGCCAACACGAGCACTCGGCAAAACCTGTCGTTCCATTCCATCCCCAGAGTCACGGGTGAGTGCGACGATATTGGAAACTTAACCTAACCTTACACAAGACGAACAGAAGGGCCTTAACTTCTTCCCGTTTTTTCTTTCCCTGTAATGGCGTTCTCTTAAGATACGACCCTATTATCTCTGAGGTCGATGGCGAGTGGGGGGGGAGGAGAGGAGAGGAGAACCTTGATTAAAATAGAGACAGCGGGTCTTTAAATTCTGGCGGGGATTAATGTCAAGGGGGTAGTAAAAAAAAATAAACAAAACAAAAATATAAAAATAACTTGTTAAATTTGAGTGAGTGAGTGAGTGAGAGAGAGAGAGATCAGGAGAAACAACACTTCCAATTCCTAGGTAAGGTGAGTCAAGTATAGGTGCCAGGTGTGTATTTTATCAGGTCACAAATGGCTTACTAATGACAGCAAGCAGCTTGTTACTACGGTGTTCATATCAACAGGTATATAACAGATGGTTTTAGTCAGTCAGTTAGCTAGTTAGTTGGAAAAAAAAGTAAATCTTAAAAGAAAAAATAACTTCTGAATTAAGGAAAGTACCGTATTTACCAAGAGCCAGGTGGATATAGAAAGTAATGAAAGCCAGTTGGATATTGAATTGAATTGAAACAGTTTATTTAGCCAGAAAAACAGATACAAAGTGGATAATAATAACAATATTAACATTGGTGAGCCAGTTGAGAACCTTAGCTCTCTTTTAGGCACCTGATATATACTATACATTTATCTCAAGGAAGTATTATGTAACATTTAGTAAAATCTGGAATAGTACAATAGCATGGTGGTAATAAGAACATCTCATAATGTTACCACGGTTATCACTTCAATATTTATTTATTTATTTATTTTTAAGTTTATTATTATTTTTTCATTTATATATACTGTACATAAATCACAGTGGAATTGAAAAACATAAGTATAATGGGGGAGCAGTACAACCTGGGTTGTACAGTAATAAGGTTGAACAAGAGGACAGAGCTATCAGGGTTATGTCTAGTTGGCAATTATGTTTATTGCAATGGTAATTACTTATCTACTTACATGATAATTTCCGATAAAACGGTTTTGATTGTAATTAAAGCCTGGTGGATATGATTTACAAAATGCAGAAATTAAATAGAGGGATACAAAAATAACTGAAAATTGACGAAGACGAAGAGGGTAGACAGAGTGGGAGGAGGATGAAGGAGAGGGGAGGGAGGATGAAAGCGGGAGAGGAGGGGGAGATGGGAGAGAGGGGGAGAGGATGAAGGAGGAGGGAGAGGGAGGATGAAGAAGGGAGATGAGAGGAGGAAGGGAGGAGGAGGGGGAAGGGGGGGAAGACGGCCAAAAGGATATTAAAGTTTGGGGGGGAGGAAGAATTTCAATTAGCATCATCTCACCTCAGGCTTGTGATAGATCTCCCCTTCCCTTCCTGCTAGTCTCCGCTCTCCTTTTCTCCCTCTGCTTGCCCCCCTTTCTGTCTCCCTTTCCTCCCTTCTCTTCTTCTCTCCCCTCCCCTCCTGTTATCATTTGCCTGCCCTTTTCCCCCCCACCTCCCTCCTCCCCCACCTCCCCTCCTCCCCACCTCCCTCCTCCCCACCTCCCTCCTCCCCCACCTCCTCCCACCTCCCTCCCTCCCCACCTCCTCACCTCCCTCCTCCTCTACCTCCCTCCTCCTCCTCCTCCTCCCTCCCTCCACCTCCCTCCTCCTCCACCTCCTCCTCCTCCTCCTCCTCCCTCCCTCCTCCTCCACCTCCCCTCCTCCTCCACCTCCTCCCTCCTCCTCCTCCCCACCTCCTCCTCCCTCACCTCCTTCCTTCCCCCACCTCCCACCTCCCTCCTCCTCACCTCCCTCCTCCCCCCCTCCCTCCTCCTCCTCCCTCCTCCTCCCCACCCCTCCTCCCCCACCTCCCTCCTCCCCCCTCCCTCCCCTCCCCACCTCCCTCCCTCCTCCACCTCCCCTCCTCCTCCCTCCTCCCCCTCTCCCTCCTCTACCTCCCTCTCCTCTCCACCTCCCTCCTCCTCTACCTCCCTCCTCCCCAGACCAGCGAGCCAATTTTCCCCCGGAAGACGAACGAAGATTAAGAATGATAAGCAAATCCTCCACACTTTAATATATCCTCCTCCTCCTCCTCCTCCCCCCCTCCTCCCCCTCCTCCCTCCTCCTCCCCTCCCTCCTCCCTCCCCCTCCTCCTCCTCCCTCCTCCTCCTCCTCCTCCTCCTCCTCCTCCTCCCTCCTTCCTCCTCCTCCTCCTCCTCCTCCCTCCTCCTCCTCCTCCCCTCCTCCTCCTCCCCTCCTCCTCCTCCTCCTCCTCCCTCCTCCCCTCCTCCTCCTCCCTCCTCCTCCTCCTCCTCCCTCCTCCTCTCCTCCTCCTCCTCCTCCTCCTCCTCCTCCTCCTCCTCCTCCTCCTCCTCCTCCTCCTCCTCCTCCTCCTCCTCCTCCCCTCCCTCTTCGCTGCTTGTTTTTCCGGCTGATGACCTGACCAGAATATTCCACTCAGCATCCTTGAAGGTCACGTGGGGAAAGAGGGGGCAGGGGGGGCTTACAGAACGTCACCAGGCTGTATACAGAGGTCATTGGGGGGGGGGTGACAATGGTGACGACGACTTTATTGACGGAATCCCCGAAATTGATCATAACAAACGCGTGTGTGGTCACAGACCAGAGGGGTCGACATAAAATGTCACAGGTTGATGGCAGATTTTTATAAGAAAATAGTAATAATAATAATTATGATTATTATTATTATTATTATTGGTATTATTTATGGACACGTAGAGTGGGTAGTCGTACAGCGGGAAGGTCGTACAGCGTGGAGGTCGTAAGGGGTGGAAGATGGCACGGAGTGAAGGTTGTAGAGCTTGAATGTCATGCGGTGGAGGATTGTTAGTCGTTGAAGGTTTCATGCCCCGGTAGCTAAATGGGGTGGTGGGAGAAGGCGAGGCAGTGGGGGGGGTGAGGAGAGGGGCAGTGGTGGGAGAGGAGAGGGCAGGGGGTGGGGAGAGTGAGGAGAGGGGTGGGGCAGTGGTGGGAGGAGGAGAGGTCAGGGCAGTGTGGTGGGAGGTGGGGAGAGGTCAGGGCAGTGGTGGGAGAGGAGGAGAGGGGAGGGAGGTGGTGGGGAGTGATGGAAGGGGCGGGGCAGTGGAGAGTGAGGGAGAGGTCAGGGAGGGCAGGGTGGGAGAGGAGTGAGGCAGGGGCAGTGGTGGGAGAGTGAGGAGAGAGGTCAGTGAGTGGTGAGGAGTCAGGAGTGGTGGGAGGAGTGGAGAGGGCGGGGCAGTGGTGGGAGAGTGATGGAGAGGCAGGGGGCAGTGGTGGGAGAGGAGGGAGAGGTCAGGGCAGTGGTGGGAGAGGTGGAGAGGCGGGGCAGGGTGGGGGAGAGGGCGGGGGCAGTGGGGGAGAGGAGGAGAGAGGCAGGGGTGGGGCAGTGGTGGGAGAGTGAGGGAGAGGGCAGGGCAGTGGCGGGAGAGTGAGGGAGAGGTCAGGGCAGTGGTGGGAGAGGAGGAGAGCGGGACAGTGGTGGAGAGGTGAGAGGCGGGCAGGCAGTGGTGAGGAGTGAGTGGCGGGCAGGAGCGGGGCAGTGGTGGGAGAGGAGTGAGAGGCGGGGCAGGGCAGTGGTGAGGGAGTGAGTGGCGGGGCGGGGCGGGGCGGGGCAGTGGTGGGAGAGTGTAGTGAGAGTGGTCGGGGTGGTGTACGTTGTGTGGCTTGCGGCAGTTCTTCTTTACTGGAGCCAGAACTTCCTTGTATGGCTATTGATCCACCAGACTGTTGCTATTCGCGTCCCCTTAAGGTCAACGACGTGTGTCCGTCCGTCAGAGAGACCGACCGATGATGGCGGTGTTTGCTTGACGATGACTACCATGAGGGGGAACGTCCTGGGCCTGAGAATACACTAGAAAAAATTATGACCACAGCGTTTATGTTATGTTTCCGGAGGTCGCGATTTTTGTTTTATGTATTATTATGACGTGAGAGGATTGTAATTATAAACAATTCTAAACTCCTAGGACGGAGGGTGTTGGGTGAAATATACAACCGGTATTGTATTGCATTTTGTGACGAGATCACTCGGTGTGAAGTACGTATGTGTAAAATTGTTCTCCGGGCTTTTTCTTCTCGATTCGTGTATCATTAAACGGAGGAGTTTTTGCGAAGCTGTTTTTATTTCTTTTGATATAATGGATCGTAAATTGAGTCAAGTTGTTTTGTGTTTGGTGTCTCTACCTTCATGTTTCTGGCGAGTAAATATTGAGTGTGAGGTTGGTCGTCTTACGGGGAGGGCCATGTGCCGACCAGATGACGTAAGGGAGGGGCGGACCCGGTGGTTGGTGTAATCTGGCCGCC